GCCCTGCTACCTACGCAGAGGGTCTCGGCGCGCAGAGTGCTAGGACCCACCCCTGCTTTTGGGGTCCTATAGCTCTCGAACTTGCAGCTGCACACCCTCCTTCTCGTCAGCTGAGCTTCAGAGCAGTGGCCCTTTCTTTTTCTATCGATTTCACGAAATAAAAACTTTATCTTCAGATGGTTGACAGACTCCTGAGCCAGAGGCGGCACCAAGAGCCCGGACGTCCCCCCCCCCCCACCCCTTCCCAACCATACCTTTTAAGGTCTTCCGGCCAAGGGAATGCTGGGAACGTCACATGCAAATTAGGTGGGCATCCCGCGCACCGCCCCTTGGGCGACAGGGCCGGCACCAACCCGACCCACTGCGCAGGCGCGGGAAAGTTGAACTTCTAAAAGTTTACGCAAGTCCACTGAAGGAGGAGGGGGAGGTGGCTCCCGGCACCAGGTAAGCCGGACGTTCGCGGGGGCTGGGGTGAGGAGGGGAGAGGCCGGGATCTAGGAGCGGGCACCTCAGTCCCGCTTCCCCGACATCCACGCGTCCCGGGTCCCCAAGATGCCAGCCTCAGTCAGATAGTGGAACTACACTTCCCAGGCCGGCTGCGCGGCGAGCTAGCGCGGAACGAGGGGAAGGTTTGCCATGAAGCCTGCTGGGATTCGTAGTTCCCGATTCTCTAAAGGCTTGAGAAGCTTGGTATCTGCCTTCAGAACCCAGAAGTCGGAGCCCCAAGTTCTCGTCTCTCTCAGACTGAAGAATCCAGATTCCCCATCCCCCTTCTCCGAAAACTCAAGAGTCCAGCTCCCAGTCCCTTCCTTAGACCCATGAATCCGGGTCCCCAGCCTCTTCCTCTCCAAGCATCAAGGAGTCTTCCTCCTCATCCCTCTTCTCTCTCTGAGGACTCAAGAATCTGGGTCCCCAGGCCCTAACTCCCCTAAAGGACTTAGAAATTCGGACTCTCGGCCCCTTCCTCCCTTGGGGACTCACGAGTCCCGATCCTCTCCTTATTCAGGGATTAGGCGTTTGGGCCCCAATCCTCCAATGCAGGGCAACCCTGGAGTCCATCCCCCAGCTCCCTCTTTCACAGGTGCCCCCATGGCAGGCTCGGAAGAGCTGGGGCTCCGGGAGGACACGCTGAGAGTCCTAGCGGCCTTCTTTAGGCGAGGTGAGGCCGCCGGGTCCCCCATTCCAACCCCACCCAGGTAAGAGGAGCTGCCCTCCTCCCTCAGGGGCCTGCATTTGGGGCGGGGCCCCCTCTGACTCTTGCGCCTGGTCTCAGCCTGCCTGCACTCCCCTCTCTTTATATCTGGCTCTATTCCTTGTCCCTGGGGTTGCAGTGAGAGGCCTTCACGGGGAGGAAAAAGGGACTGCTTGCAAGGAGCCTCCGGGGTCACTCTCTGAGGTCCCCTTCCCCAGGAGTCCTGCCCAGGAGGAGCCAACAGATTTCCTGAGCCGTCTTCGAAGATGTCTTCCCTGCCCCCTGGGGCGAGGAGCGGTTCCCCCTGAGTCCCCTCGGCCTTGCTCCCTGCCCCTCCGCCCATGCTATGTTTCAGAGCCTGGTAAGAGATTTTCCCTAGATCACCCATGAACTGGCAGGGCCAGGAGCTTTGATTCTTAAAGCTGGAAAGGATGGAAAGGATGAGCTAGTCCAAGATCACTCAGCTCAGAGGGGGAGCTGAGTGGGGACTACCCTCACCATTCTGTGCTCCCCCTGCCCCCAGTTACATTGCTGTCTGTCCATTCTGTGAGCTGGCTTCAGGAGAACTTTTGGTCCCTTTCTATCTGTTATCTCTCTCCTTCCATGCATGCTTCCCTCTCCCTAGGACTTTGTAGCCCACCAGTATCCCCAGTAGGGAGGCAGGAGACCTGGCATTCAAACACAATTCCCTGGATATTTAGTTACAGGTCTCTGAAAAATTCCTTTTCTTCCTTGCTCCTATTTTTCTCCACTAGCAAAGTAGGAATGAGGGGAGTGGGGGGAGGTGTCATTGGACTTGATCAAGAGTAACCAGAAGGTTTCTTTCCTCTCGTATGTGAGCCTGGATAGACTAGTAATGACTACTGGGAGAGCTAGCTTGAAAAGGATTTCGCAGCTGGGGAGAAGAGTCCTGTGACCAGCTGATGACACTTGAAACCAGCAAGGGATAGAGTGATAATAGCTGGAGCACCCTGTGTTTGCTTTCCTTGGTTGGGATAATCTTCAAAGTCTAGTTCGGCTCTAACATTCTCAGTCCAGTCGGGGGGGGGGGCGGGGGAAACACCATAAAATGGAAAGTACAAAGGTCTTTTGCCAAGTGTGCTCACTGGGCCTCAGTTTACCCCATTGTGAAATGGAAATCGTTGCTACCTGGCAAGGCGGTGGGGACACGGAGAGAATCCATAACTTCCCCATGTCCCAGAGATCCATCATTGGCTCTTTTCACCCCAGGCCCAGCTACTCCGGATTTCTATGCTCTGGTGGCCCAGCGGCTAGAACAGCTGGTCCAAGAGCAACTGAGATCCCCACCTAGCCCAGGTGAGGTACACAGGGGCCCTGGAGAAGGAGGAGGGTGGAAGGGTTGGCAGAGTTCTGCTCCCAGCCGAATTCTCTTCTGTCCCCCCAGAGTTACAGGGTCCCCCACCCACAGAGAAGGAAGCCCTGCTGCGGAAGCTGGTGGCCCTGCTGGAGGAAGAGGCAGACGTCATCAACCAGAAGGTGATGGGCGGTCTCTTCCACCCTTAGCTAAGATAGGAATCGCGGGATGGTTGGGCCCTGGGATCCAAAGCTGGATCTGTATTCTCTTTAGATGGTCAAGTGAGGAGAGGGTGGGACTAGCCTTCAGTGAAGGGTTCGCAATCAAGTCCACACTCATTCTGCTCACAGCACCACAGGCCAATAAGTCGAGAGGCAAGATGTTGGGGTAAGGAAAGTGACTTTATTTGGAAAAGGAGCAAACTGGGCAGACTACCCACCCAAACAGCAATCTCCCTCAGCATGAGATTGGGCCTCTTTTATGTTGGGATTGTGGGGGGGGGGGGGGGACCCCGGGGGGGGTGGGGAGTCAAAGGGTGACTGACATCTGTAGATAATGGAGGGAGGTTGTGTAACTGTTTTTTGTCCTTGGTCAGTTGATCTTAGTGTACAGGAAACTGGTCATGTCATTCCTGTAAATCTCATACATAGCATGGTCATTTCTGTAGGTACCTTCCTTTTGAAAAAAAGTTGAGGGCGCCTGGGTGGGTCAGTTGGTTAAATCAGGTCATGATTTCACAGTTCGTGAGTTTCAGCCCCATGTCGGGCTGTGTGCTGACAGCGTAGAGCCTGGAGCCTACTTCGGATTCTGTGTTCCCCTCTCTCTCTGCCCCTCCCCTACTCATGCTCTGTCTCTCTTTCTCAAAATTGAATAAATGTTAAAAAATTTTTAAAAATTTATTTGTTTTGAGAGAGAGAGAGAGAGAGAGAGAGAGAGAGAGAATCCCCAACAGGCTCCTCACACGGGGCTCGAACCCATGAACTGTGAGATCATGACCTGAGCCAAAATCAAGAGTCAGATGCTTAACTGACTGAGCTACCCAGGGACCCCTGTAGGTACCTTCCTTATCTCCTATGGTGAGGCAGATTTCGGGTAAAATATGGTCTTTGCAAATCTTAGCTGCAACGTGCCTACGTGCAGGGCTAAGCAGAAGTTTCTAAATTAAAGGTCACAGCAGTAAGGGAAATAGAAGCAATATGGAGTCAGACGTGCTAAGTTTCTCCACTACGTGTTGAGCGACAGTTAGTTAGGGTCAGGATAGTGTTTTAAACTGGTTTGCATTCATCGCCAGAGGGGCGTGGCCTAGAGAGAAGAGGTGTGGCCATTCCAAACCAGATCTCTGAAACTGACTGAGACCAGTTAAGGAGTTAGGGACTGTATGGTGGTGGGAGGGGGGTTGGTTTGGAGAGGGCTGTCTGAAATCTGAAACCCTGGGGGCGCCTGACTGGCTCAGTCGGAAGAGCATGCATCTCTTGATCTCGGGATTGTGAGTTTGAGCCCCATTTTGGGTGTAGAGACTACTTAAAAACAAAACTTAAAAAATCTGAAGCCCTTGTTAACTATAGAGGGGCATGACTTAGAATGTGAAGGGAGATGACTGCGGAGGAGGTCTGGCTTATGACTGTCACGGACCTTGATTGGCTCAGGAACTTGGGCAGTGTATAATCCTGTAATATTGCATGGTGGAAGGCAAGGTTGCAGGCACTAGCCTGGCCTCAGATGCTCTCAGGGAACCCGTAAGGGGGCGTGGCTATAAGATTAACATTCTAGAACTCGGCTAAGAGGGGCTTGGCCCTCATTGGCTGTCCAGGCCTTGCCTTAACTTCTCGTCCACTTTCCTA